ATTCATACAGGCATGCAGTAGCACAATATCACATATCTGTGTCAGAACTCAGAACATTTTATAAAGAAAAGCATGATGTAGACCTCTGAGAAACCCCCCTCCTCCTCCCCCAGCAGTTGTGTATTCAGCACCCTCACACAGCCAAGCAGATGAAAGTAACCATGCTGCTTTTCAAAAAGATGAGGGGGGCCACAGGCAAGCAGATATGTGTGTGCGTAGGAGTGGAAGTGAGTAGCAGCAGGCAGAGTGCACGGATCTTCAATGCAGTGTGAGGAGTATCTAGAGGGAGCAATAGAGGAGCCAGATTGGTTTGCATAAGCAGGACAAAATAAAGGGCAGGATTACTGGATGGTGATGAAGGTGGTTGTGACCCACTGGGGCCCCGCGTAGCCCTCCTGCAGGGGCTGCATCCTGCTCATCTCAAGCTTCTCTAGCACACTGGGGAGCAGGCTTGGGTGTGCTCCCCATCACTGTCCTGCTTTTGTGGAACCATAGCATGGTGCAATTGTGCATCTGCCCAGAAATGTCACTGACCATCTTCCAAGAGTGGCAACACAAACACTTAAAAAAACACGCTGTCTCTGGAGGGAGGCCTTTCTGCAAATGTGTGGGGTGGGAGCAAGCCCAGCAAGTGTGCTCATGGCCTGAGTTTTGCAAGAAAAAGGCAAATGAAGCATATGCAATCAATGTAAGAAAGATGCCCACCCCAAGGTTGCTGGTGTCCTGGATGAGAGGGCAGAATTGCTGGGTGGGAAGGAAGGACTGTGTGCCACAATACTTTCTACCCCCTCTCTGATGGCTGGCAATGTAGAGCTAGACTGGTGATCTAAGGTGGCTCTTCCTACTCGTGATTTACCCTCATTTTTCCTGGTGTACTGTGCATGGAGAGGAGCAATGTGTTGCACTTTAGAGTACTCTTCACATCACCTCCTTTTCCATCCTGCTTGTAACAATACATAGACTGCTGCTTCTACTCATTGCTACTGAGCAGCAGATACAGGATTCTGTATGATGTGGCTGAAGGGGTAGCACTGCCATGGGGCAAGTCAGAGCATCTCCCTGTGCACTAGCTGGCTTAGCCACTGTGTGAAACATACCCAGTAAAAGAAGAGAGCGTGTCTCAAATCCCATCTTCGCTGAGTTGAACTCTGCCAGTTCAACAGCAGCTGATTTTAATCAGCAGCAGTGAGGTGAACAAGGCTGCAGAGCAGAGTGGTTATCCAGAAGCTTTATTTCCTTTATTTATTTGTGAATCTAATTACACATGGTCTTACTGAGGCAGTTTTCACAGTCCCCGCTTTCTCCCCCCAGGCTACAACCCTGCTTGGAACTGCTGGGAAATACAACGTGATTCAGGCCATGTACTAGGGAGCAGGATATATGGCATGATGAGAAATGTCTCCAGCAGTGGTATTTGTGAATCTGCAGCTCTGCTTGTGCCTAGTTATATGTGAGTGTGTTTGTGTCTGAGCTGCTGTGTTAATATACATATCTGTCTAATATATGTAATTGTGGGGGAGTGTGTGCATAGTGGGTGGGTTTGCCTCTGCATACTGCGTGTGTATGTACTGGCTGTGTGCATAGCTTTCTGTTGCTAATGTTGGGGTGTGAAAAGTATGTCTAAATGGGGACAAGAGATAAAAGTGGCTTACACTGCTGAAATGTCTCCACCCCATGCCATGGTGTGCGGGCCAAGACTGGCTCTATGTGCCAGCAGACAGCATGCCCTGGCACTTACTGCACTTCTGGATTGGCTAGGCTAGGCATAAAATGCTGTGAGAAAGCAAATGCTTTCTGGATAGTATCTGTATTATTGCAGCATTGCATCTCTTTAAGCAGAAAAATACATCAGACTTCCTGTCATCTCTCTTTTGGGCTTGCTCAGTGCCCTGCATGTACTTGAGAGGTTTTCTTTTTATGTCTTCCAGAGAAAAACTGTTTCCCATTAAGAAACAACTTCCCCCCCTTCCCCTCCCCTTCTGAATATATTGTTTTGCCAAGAATATGAAATAAAGATTATTTTGGAGAAGACTAATAAAAAAAAAAAACCCACTCATGATGCTGCTTTTCAGTCCTCAAGAAAAGAAGGGAATGGTCTCAGCAGAAGATTCGACTGAACTGCAGCCATTACTTCCTCATCTGTCACCTTCTATTCCTCTTCTGATATTTTTATGAGTTGATCCCCAACCCAACCACTCTACCGAACCTAGTATGCTTTCCTCTTGCTATGATGCTGGTCAGGACTCTGCTACTAAAATATCTTTTTAATTTTACTAGTCTGAACTTTTTTTCTCCATTTATGATTATGTTTTTAAATTGAATTTAAATAGCCAGTATGTCTTCATCCATTGCCTCTCAAATCCAGTTTCTTGCTCAGAGTAGAGAAAATTCTAGTAAGATCCATTGACTGTTAAAAACCTTGCTGCAGATATTTAGGCCAAAGCCTTTTTCTTTTGTGCTGCAGCCTCCTGGCAACTTACCCCTGAGTTGCCAGCACAGTTCTGCCAGTGCCTTCTACCTCCACAGCCCCTGCAGCATCTCAATCCTGAGAAGCTTCTGAACAATTTCAGACAGCTCACCTGTTGCCTGTTGACACCAGAAAAAAGGAAGCCAAAATGGAGAAGGATCATATAAAGGACTGTTGGTTATGAAAACATTTGTACAGCATTCTCCACGAAGTCTCATGCATCTATTTCATTGTTGCTATTCTTAGATATAAACCAATATTAAAGACTGATAAAAAGACAGTACAAGGGAAAAAAAAAAAACATTATCAGCAACAAAAACAAATACAGAAATATATGGCTTCTGTCTATAGTGGAAAGCCTGTTGTCTTTGCAACTTTAATCAGAAAAAGAATAGGTAGGTAGGTAGCTTAGAGCGAAAGAAGTGGATGAGGCCTGAAGTGCTATGGGAGGTGGAACAAGGGAACCTCAAGCGACTCTCTGGGTGTCACGTCTCTCTTGTAGCGCAGGCTGTGTGCAGGAAACAGCTCTCACCATAATGCTATTGCTCATGGTTTGCTCTCCTGCATGTTGTTTTCTGTAGTTTTTTGTTTGTTTGTTTGTTTGTTTCTTTTGTTGTTTTTTTTTGTTTTTTCGATTTTTTTTTTCTCGAAAAAATTACTTCCCCTTTGCAAGTGATCGTTAAAGTATTAGAAGCTTTTGACAGTAATGATTTGATTAACAAACTAGGTTAATTAGGTAGGTTTTAAGAAGCCTCGGCTACATTTTACCATGGAAAAAGGCAGAGGTTAAAGAAGACTTTGGATTAATGATAGTGCTACGTTTGTGCTCTGCTTACTGATTCCACAATTTCTTCCTGTACTTCTGTCTGCTTGTGCTTGCCTTTTCTATCAACTCACCTGTTATATTTTTTCTCACACAGTCTGCTGCTGCCTTTTCCTTTGTTTTCTTTTTTATTTCTCTGCTTTGATCCTCTAATCTGTTTAATTCTCTTTTTCATCTTAATATGCATTTTCGTTTCTTGTTTTGTATTAGTTTGGTTTTGTCTTCTGTCTCTCCCTTCTCTATCTCTCTTCTCACTCTTTTAACATTCTGCTGTCTACAGACCAACCTATTCCTCACCCATCATCTTGTTTCTCCTTATCTTTCCTTCTTTCTCCCACTCTTTCTCAGCTCTTCTCAACAATGAAAGTTACTCACGGTTAGTGGGGGATGCATCTGGCCCCTGCTGGCTCTTGTTCTCTCTCCTTTGTTCTGAATACGCTTTTGTTAGAAACACAACAGAAAACTGCAAAATCATCTCTCACGGCAAACGCTGCATAATAATTCTCCTTGTTCATTCTCCTCTTATCTCTGAAGAATTTGTTCTCCGGGCAAAACAGGAAGAAACATGAGAAAGGATTCACCGCAATCCTTTGGAATTTGAATGCAGAACAAAGAGGGGTGGAAAGTAACTTAAGGAGAAAAAAAAGGCAGGAAAGAACTTCGTGGAACATTCCCAGTTGATTGAATACTGAGCAGATATGACAAAGCAGCTAGGCTAAGGTGGAATTTATTTTGCCAGGAGCTTGCTTGGACAGCGGGGGTAATGATGCTAAGTTGATCAGTTTCTGCCGATCGGTTCCTTTTCCCAATAAGTTGTGGAGGTATGGATGATATAAAAAATATTTTTTAGCACTCAGCTTCCTATGTCTTCTCATTGTACTTTCTGAGCCAAGACCTTGTGTATATGACATGTGTTTGCCATGCCTGTTGGAGTTCCACTGCTATACTCAAAAAGCCAAAGCAAGGTGCTTCTGGCTGGACCATTTTCCAGCTCCAACCCTTGTGATAAAATATGAACAGGCTTGCTTGTTGTTGGAGTTCTTTCTTAATGCTGAATAAGCATTCTCTGATAAAAACAGCTGGAGAATGTAGCTTATTTGGAAATGAAACATTATTAGGCATGCACCATTTTAGTTATGTAAGAGTTCCAAGCTAAAATAAATGAAGCTTCTCAAGTATACAATGAGTCTTTCCCAATTCACATTGTTCTATGGCTAGGATAGTGTGGGGCAGTCAGCATGAAGTTCTGCCTGGCCCTTTCCTTGAAAAACTGGCTGGTTGACAACTGGTAACCTGCAGTGAGTCTCCATCTTCATGCAATTAATACACTTGCTCTCTACAACTACCTGAAAGCAAGTTGTGATGAGGTGTGGGATCAGTCTCTTCTGCTGCCTAACTAGTGATAGGACTAGAGGGAATGGCCTCAAGATGTATTCAGGTTGAATATTAGGAATAATTTATTCTCTGAAAGAGTGGTCAGGTGCTGGAACAGGCTGCCCAGGGAGGTGGTTGAATCACCATCCCTGGAGGTGTTCAAGAAATGTTTACATGTTGTACTAAGGCAAATAGTTTAGTGGTGAAATATTGGTGTAGATGGACAGTTGGAATAGATGATCTTGGAGGTCTTTTCCAACCTTGATGATTCTATTATTCTATGATTATATTCACATATATAAAACAACAAAAACACATTAAAAAAAAACCCACAAAGAAACAAAAATCCAACTCAACCTTATTAAGTAGATAGTTTTAATTGGTGCAGTATCAGGTATCTCTGCTAAGAAGGCATTAAGATACTTCTCCCATAGCTACTCAAAGGATGATGTTCATAAAAACGATCTTCATAAAAACAATGTGGGAAGTAAATGTGTGTCCTAAAACAGAAACAAAAGTGTTATTTAAGAGGAACAGACTGTGATGCAAACTTCAAAACTAAGTATTTCAGTACCATCAGAATAACAGGAGGAAAACCAGCTGAAATGGGAGAGTAGGGTATTTTCTCTGCGTTTCTTAAGGAAATTTCTTTCCCAGTGATGGATTTTCAGCTTCTGTCTCTTTTTTACTGCCATTGATTCCATCAGCTCCACAAGGATAAGAAACTGTCATTCAGTTTGTTCTGCATCTTGTAACAGAGACATAATTTTCAGATAAACTTGTACTGCTTCTAAGTTGGAATAGAAGCTAAACATGTATTTAAACTAATTTAGTCAAACTTCATGATTAATGTAATCTTGAAATATGAATTTCCCAGCACTTGCAACTGAGTCATGTGGGCCAAGAAGAAAGTAGAAGTGATGCAATTTGAGCAGATTTTTTTTTCTGTCCGGAGATTTCCTCTGAAATTTGGAAATGCTTAGGCTCTCTTCAAATATAGCAACTTCACAGATTAACTAGTAATTGAATATATTCAGAACTAATGCCAGAGATTGAGACATCTATGTAATCAGATTCAAGGTGGAGTTTGTTATGCATGCAATTAAGTGGAAAATAAGCTAGGAACAAGAAAAATAAATGTGAGCCAAGATCAGTCAAAGAGTGTTAGGGAGCTAGGGCTAGATATGGCAGCCTGGTAGAAGCAAAGCTCCACAGCTCCTCAATCCACATAAATACCTACATATGTGACCACCACACAGATACATGAGCAGAAGGGCAGTCTGACAATGTGGTGTCTGACATGGAAGTGTATGTGAAGGAACTGAATGCCTCTATGAGGAAAAAATTGCACATGTTGACATTCATTAACCCTAGCTGAGTATTTATGGAAACTGAACAGTGGATGTGAGCACAGTGGATGGTACAGTGGATGTGGTGACAGTGTATTACCTCCACAAGAGCATGAAGGCTCTTTCTCATCACAGGTGAAAATGCATAGTTAATGGTGGTGACTGTGTTGAAAAACTGTGTTTTGTAGCTGAGAATTTGCTCTATCCAATAGTGTTATTGTGCCCTTTGTATTTGCTGGGAGTTTCCATGGAAAGAAACAGGAGGCATTACTTTTGGAGTAACCTAATACAGATACTCAATCCGTTCCTGAATCAGTCTCCCCTTTTGCTGGCACCCAATCATTTGAGACCTGAAGCCTGCAGCCATAGTTCAGTTTCTGACACAGATGGCTTCTCTCGCAGCTGTCTGGGACTCTCCTGATCCTTCCAAGAAGCAGCTCCTTTACACTCATTGCTTTGCAACTTCCTGCACACCTGGGCTCATTTCACCACAGGCACGTGGGCCCCTCCGATGCACGGTCCTACTGCAGTGGCTGGTACTGAGGCTTCTATGCACACACCCAAAATGGGGTGTTCATCACCTAGGAAAAGAGTTAGACATGAAATTTAATGGCAAGTTAGGACAGACTGTGCTGGTGAGGCATAGAGAAAGGCACTGGTCAGCTAGAGATTTAGATGGGACAAAGCCTTATTTTCCCTTATTTCTCCACTTTCCCACGCTTGTTCCTCCCCAAATGATCTAGACTATTCCCTTCTTCCACTTCTGATTCTTCCCCTAATTGTAAGCCCTGTGGAACGTGCGTCCCGTGCAGCAGTGCACATCCCCACGCCCCCATCCCAGCCTGAAAGCTGCTCCGACATCGCTCAGAGCTTTGGCTTTCGCACCTGGACAATAGAGCAACCCCGGGAGTGGCCCAGTCAGGTGATATTTCCTCTGAGCCCCCAATTGCTTTCCCATCTGCCATTTTGCCCCTCTGGGCATGTGGAGATGAGACTTTGATGTGCTGATGGCTCCGGTAATGAGCCGAGGAGGATCTGGGCAGGGCTTTATTGTATACCCCCTCCCGTCATTGTCTCTCCGTGCTTCTCTGTGGGAGTGCAGAGGAGCTTTTATCATGTAACCTAAGAAAGAGGAATTTGCAGACTTCCTTTTACACAACAGCTTTTTTTCTTTTTTTTTTTTTTCCCCCCTGATGGCGACATTATTTAAACAACGCAAAAAGGCCCGTGAGTGAGACGAATTGTTACCCTATTTGCACTATAAATTTTCAGTTATGTACCCATGTGTGATCAGGTGGCAAAGAAACAGGAACGTAATAAGTAGTAACGAACTTAAAACGTCCCTCAGATTCCTCAGAATCTGGTAACAAAAATGATGAGCACACCCCAGATAATTTTCCATTGCAGGGAAATGACATTATGGCAACTTCCTCTGACTGCAACCTCACCCCTGCCCCGTGTCTGAGCTGTTACCATTCGCAAAATGTTCAGAAGAATTCAGCGAAGACGTGTGCTGTTTGACAACATTTTTGTCCGGAATTGAAAGTACAGCTCTTCATTGCTCTCCTGGTAGAAACATGGCAATTTAAAAAAAAAAAAAAAATTATTTTTTTATCTTAAGGATGGGTTGCAAATAAATGTATAATATAGGAGCCAGTTTGATTGGAAAGCGTGCTAGTATGGGTCTCAGTGCAGCTGCAAAGACACACCGCAGGCTTTATCCCCGCTGCTTATAGCTTTTTTTTTTTTTTTTTTTTTTAATATGTATCTTTAAGCAAAACAAGTAGCAAGCAAAAACCACACCCAGGCATCCAGAAGTCTCCTCCAGAAAGTACGAGTTAGGAACCAGCACCTAGCGTAACTTCTGCTTTTGCTCGTGTGTGCTCGTTACACGCATTTTTTACTACAGCTTCAAAACAACGTTCTCCACGCAATCCACTCGCGTGTACTACCATCAGCCGATACTTGCGCAGCGTCAAACCTGCCTCCGCAAGAGCTGCCCCGCACCCTCACAAATTTTTCCTACTGCCGAACAGCATCAGCAACTGGCTGCACATCTCAAACCGCTTCGGCGCAATGGCAACCGAGGGGCGGCACCGCCCGCCGCCGCGGCCACTCCTCCGTCCCCCTCCCAGAACTGAGCCCATAAACACGTAGATGCCGGGGGGTATAGGGTGCGCTGTCACGCAGACGCTGCAACGGTGCGTGCGCGTGGGCGGAGTAGCTCTGGGGTTCAGTTAGGCTGGGTGCGGGTGCTGGAGCAGTTCGTTGCAGGAGATGGCTGACAAGAAGGTGAGGAGTGCGGCCGGTCACAGCTGATGCAGAGCTGATGCAAAGCTGGGGCCGCTGCCCCAGAGTGCCGGGGGCTGTCGGCGGGAGTGGGGAGGGATCTGGTCGCGACTGGCGGCGGGTTGCGGTTCATCGCCGTAGCGTCACCCGCCGCCATCGGGTTGTGAACGAGGAGAGATGTGGTGGCGGGGCTGGCAGGCCGCGGTTCTCGGCTGGCGGCTCGGCGAGAGCTCTATATCATGAAAGGACGGGGAGCTTATCTAGGGAGGTTTGTTGCAGGCCGTGGGGTTGATCCGTTGGTGCGTGTTACCGGCTGCCCGCGTGACACCGTCTATATTTAATTCGCTTCGATCACGGCGTGTCTTTTGTTGGCTGAGTAGTGGTCATCTGTCCCAGAGTTAATAGCAGCGGATTCGTGATACTTAAATGAGGGTTGTTAAAACAGGCGTTTTATTGGTGACGTTGCGGCGTACGTTAAAACTATCCCTCGATTTTCGGAAGAAAATAGAGCCAAGCCCTTTCCCTGTTCTTTTATAGAGAGCAGGCTGCAGTGGGCCACGAGTGACCTGTGCGCCCGTGGGGCTGCGGTGAGTCTAGGAGCATCCAGGGAGAGGAGCAGGAAATCAAGGGATTTCTACTCAGCGGGAAGGGCGGTGTCGGGGAGCCTCGTGCTCTTACCTCCATGTTAATGGGACATGAGAGGAGTGTGAGAAGCTGAAATAAAAGGAGGGAGAGGGAACTGACAAAAGTCACTCGGAGTGTGGCAGAGGCATCTCAAGTTGGATTTAAAAACTTATGCTACTCTGAGGTTGCTATCGGTGGAGGAGAGGGGAGCAGTTGCTAGATGCTTCACGAGTGCTGCTGCTGAATCCTGATGCTGCTAGTGGTCAGAGGAAGAAGTGTTAGTTTGAGCATCTTACCGCTGTATAGGCCTCGGCCTTAGGCCTTTACATACTGCTTTATACGGCTGTTATTTCTGAGTTTCTCTGTTTTGGGAGGTGTTCCCCTAGCAGTAACAAACGGTCCATGCATAAACTGTGGTCTCTCACTGGAGAGGCTGGGTCAGGCCATGTGATATCTTGGATGGTGTGAGGCTGGGTGGGAGTTGAATAACTAACAACAGTAAGGAGAATGAAGCATGATAGGTGGTGAGAAAAAACTAACCTTGTTATAAACTTGATTCTGTGTGGACCACATAGGCAAGAGGTGCTCACAAAGCAGGTGTCCTATAATTCCTGCTGCATCCAGAGGAAAAGGGTCAACTATGACTACTAGAAGCAGGGCCTTGAGAGAAAGGATGCTCTTGTGTCAGTTACTGTGTTATAAAAGGCATACCTTGTTCAGCTGTGAATAATAGCATGAGAATCATCTGCTCAATGCAGGAATATAGGAATATATCCCTTTCCTCCAGCATTAACCTTAGTAGGAAGAGACCTTAACATGGGATGTTTAAATGATGTAGCCGAGGGAAACCATGCGTTAATTTACTCCTGGAAAATATCAGATGCTTTTCTCTGACAGTTAAGTCTCTTGATCTTTGGGACTTTTGAGATTGGAGCTGCTTCCTCTATGGCTTTGAGTGTTGAGTAGTTATTAAATTAAAAAAAAACCCAAACATAGATTCACATGTACTCAAATTCCAGCTGTGCTTTGTTTTGAATATTCGTTATTGACTCAGTGGCAAGAAAAATAAATGAGGAATGCTGGCAGCACAGCCTTTTCTGTGACGGAAGCTGCTGTGCCAGCTTTAGGGGCAGGGTTGGGGACTTCTAGCCTGGGAAAAGCAGATCTGCTGCTGAAGAGTGTAAACTTTAACTGTTAGAAGTGACTGCCAGTGTAGCCCTTATGTAGATTTGAGAAGCCCTTATTATATCCATATCCCACTTATTTTTGGGACTTCCTCAGTTAGAATGAGGAAGAGTTAGACCCTTGTTTCATGACATGTCAGAGATCAGCAGAGCTTTATAGAAAAGCTAAAATAACAGCTGCTGATGGAGCTGGTGTGTTAATTACTAGTGAGCTGGAAGTAGTCAAATGTCATGATGTACAGATGTAGGACCTGACAGGCTCTCCTTCTAATCACAGAATTGTTACTGTTCAGTTGTACCTGTTTCCAGTCTCTTGTTGGTACCTATCCTCACTGGATATAAGCATGTTCCTTTATCTTTTGGCTCTTCATTACAATTGGCCCAGCTAGATTGGCTCTTCAGCTATTTGTGCTGAAGAGAAACTCAAGTTATATAGAAAGCATGAGCTACCAATTAACCAAACAATTGCATTCTCTTTTTTTATTCAGAAAATCACTGCAACCCTTATCTATGCTGTTACTGTTGCTGCCATTGGATCTCTCCAGTTTGGATACAACACTGGTGTCATTAATGCTCCTGAAAAGGTGAGAGGAAGAATAAGTTGGGGAGAAAAAACATGTGTAAATGTGCTGGGGAGGAAAAAAACAGCATAGGAAGGAGAGAGGAGCTGTCAGACAGCTAATAGTTTAGTTGTGGTGTTTGAATTGAAGGAAAGAAGACATTTAAAGGACAGGAAAGTTACTGGCGAGGAGAGAGATCAGAGAGAATTATGATTTTAATTTGAAGTGCAGAGTTTTGCTGAAAGGAAGGGGTCTATCTGCCTTCTCCTGGATTGTCACCTACTTCAGGGGTTGTCATTTTGTTTCTTAGTAGTTTATCTTCCCCCTTCCCCTTTAGGGCACAAGAGGAGAGGAAACACAATTCAGTTTTTTCTGCCAGGTGCTACTCTGCTCCAAACTTACAAATTGAGTAAGAACGTGCTTCTGGCCTGTTGCACCAGGTCAGGAGATGAGGCAGGATATTCTGAGTCAGAATGAAACAGCTGGGGCAGAGAAGGTGTGTAGAGAGCAGTGCACAGAGATAAGCCGAGAGGGTTGGTAGGGATTGCTGTTGTTTTAGTTTCTCTTAGGGCCTCTGACTTGTTCATTTATTTATTTGTGTTAAGTGTCAATTCAGTGTTTGTGAAAGACAAATCATGCTTATACCATCAGAAAAAAGAAGAAAAGATGAAGAAAATTAGAAATGCAGTTTTCTTGTAACTAAGATGGTTCTTTTCTCAGGAACTGAGTCACCAATACCACATCCACCCCACCTCCAGGAATAGATGTCACATCACATCCTGGGGGGTAGGGTCCTTCCTAGCTAATGTCCTGCTGCCATCTGCTGGGTGCATTCTGAGGCCACATCCCCTTCAGTTCTTGCAGTGCTCCCTTTGTTATCAAAAAGGATACCTCAGATTGGAACACAGCCCTGTTATGTTGCATCTCATCTTGTCCCAAGGAACAGTGAAGGATTGTTTTGCATAAAGCTTCTGCTTTCAGGCTTAACTCGATGAAACTTTATATGTCTTTTGAACTATTTTCATTTGCAGAGAGCCCTTCTCTATTGCTAGATTTCTGGTGTTGCCAGAAACATTCCTCTTCATTCTCTGGCTGTTTTTCTTATTCTCTTGCACTCCCGTCTCATGCCTGAAACACCAGCAGTGACCCTGATCATCTGAAAACATTCAGAAGATAAGCCCACTTTCCTTAATTATGACAGCTCTATGTGAAACAATCCATTTCTTATCATTCTACTACGAGTCTCTGAACTTCTCTGTGAAACTTTTATTCCTCTTTCATCACTCTGATCTCTTGCATAACCTGCTGCTTTCTACTGAATTTTTAATGCCTATCTTTGCTGCATAACTCCTTGAAAATAGAAAAATGATCCCAAATTTTTTTCCTAAATTCCTCTCCCATGGGATTGGAAACCTTCCTTACCTACTTGGGTTTCTCTTGCAGATCATCCAAGCCTTCTTCAACAGAACTCTATCTCAGCGGAGTGGGGAGGCTATCTCCCCAGAGCTTCTTACCTCACTATGGTCCCTTTCTGTGGCAATCTTCTCAGTAGGAGGTATGATTGGCTCCTTCTCAGTCAGCCTTTTCGTCAATCGATTTGGCAGGTAAGTTGGGAAGACAAATACAAGTTATTAATGAATTTATGCTCTGCAGTGGAGAGGAGTGGGAGGAAGAGGGCAGAGATGTGAACTGTTGCAGGCAAAGGCAGAAGCTGAACAGGAAATACTGTTCTCTCCCTGCTCCCAAGATAAGAGTCATGGATAGCTTTATCTTTCTCCCTATGGTTTTCTTGCTCTATTACTAGTTAAAGCTCAGACTTGGTATTTCTGTCTTGGCAGGAGAAACTCCATGCTGCTGGTGAACATCTTGGCTTTTGTTGGGGGTGCTCTCATGGCCTTATCCAAGATTGCAAAGGCAGTGGAGATGCTGATAATTGGGCGCTTCATTATTGGCCTTTTCTGTGGTCTGTGCACTGGCTTTGTTCCCATGTACATCAGTGAGGTCTCACCCACCAGCCTTCGTGGAGCCTTTGGAACCCTCAACCAGCTGGGCATAGTCATAGGCATCCTGGTGGCCCAGGTAGGCTTGACAGACTTCTACTTGGAGGAAAAGGGTACATGAGGGGAGGCTTTGTGGACTTGATCTTGTGGTCTGCCTTTGTCATCAGGAGCAGTATATTGTTCTCTCATACTCTATTTCAACAACTTTCTTTCTCTCAAATTCTTGGTGTAGATTTTTGGCCTCAAGGAGATAATGGGGACTGAAACACTGTGGCCATTGCTGTTGGGGTTCACGATTCTCCCAGCAGTTCTGCAGTGTGTGGCTCTTCTTTTCTGCCCTGAGAGCCCCCGTTTCCTGTTGATCAACAAGATGGAGGAAGAGAAAGCACAAACAGGTAAGAACTTGTCTCTGAAGGGGCAGGACTGTATTTTAATTCCCTGCTCTGAGCTTGAGTGGAAGGCTGAGATTGTCTTTAGAATTTGTGGTAGACAAGGATGTGAATCCCAGAGGGTACTAACCCTTCCCTCCCATCTTTTAAATTGTACCAGTGTCAGGAGTTGAGAATCCCAATGAACTCCTGGTGGGATTAAGAAGTGGCACCTGGCCTGGTGGGATGTGGCAGTACCAGCTGCTGCAAATATCAGCTCCACCTGAAGCAAATTTAATAATGGATTAGGAGGGTCTACCCTTACCACAGAGGCATGGAATCGTCTCTGGCAAGAATTAGGGATCAAATGCAAGTTCAGAGCACAAGTAACATGAAGAGTGTCTACAGTCTGAGTTTGGTTTCCATGGTGATCACAGCTCTCTGAACTGTGAGTTGAAAAAATGAGCAAAAGCTGCATATAGTGGCTCTGTCTTTACAGCAGAGCAGGCCCAAACACAGATTTGTATATGGTTCTGTTTTCCCAGTGTGCTTTCCCTCAAATAGCAGAATGGTCTAGGGAAACTTAGTGGTTGTGGGAATGTTCCACCTTATGCTTTTGGATTCTTTCCTACAGTTCTCCAGAAGCTCCGTGGGACACAAGATGTATCTCAAGACATCTTGGAGATGAAAGAAGAGAGTGCTAAAATGTCTCAGGAAAAGAAAGCAACTGTACCAGAGCTCTTCCGCTCTCCAAACTATCGTCAAGCCATTATCATTTCCATCATGCTACAACTCTCTCAGCAGCTCTCAGGCATCAATGCTGTGAGTTATCTTTGTCTTGTCTATTGGGCTTCTGGGAAAACTAGTCTTTCAAAGATGTCTTTCATCTGGAAAACATCTTTGTGAATGTAGAGGTTGCAAATATGAAGATGGCAATCATTTTGGCCTTTACGTCTACTGCACATACCCTGGCAGGACGTTAGAGATATGCATCAAGCAAATGGAACTTGACTGGAATTATGCTGTTGATTGCTTTTATACTGCTGACTGCTTGTTAGGATTGTGCCATTAAGTAAGGAATGAGGAACATGCTTTCAAACACTAAGACTGCAATGGTGTCTAACTCTTTGCTTTTCTTCCTAGGTATTCTATTATTCTACAGGGATTTTTGAAAGAGCTGGTATCACAGAGCCTGTGTATGCTACCATTGGAGCTGGTGTGGTAAACACAGTCTTCACTGTTGTATCCGTAAGTAGAACAGGACATTCTTTTGAGAAAAGTTGCTTGTCTGCATGGGGTCTTCTGAGGGATGTGACTGAAGACAGGTAGTTGTGCTGTAGTAAAGCAGCAGTTAACTATTGGCCTACAAGAGCAAAGAAAAGAATGCATTAAAAGTATTATGGGAGAAGAGAACATACATTTTAAGAGGGGGAAAAAAAAAATGAAGTAAAGGATGAAATTAAGAGTGTTGGTGGAGGTACAAGATAAGGGAAGGCAGTAAGAAGAGTAATACTTGTACTGAAGAGCAACTTGATGACTTGACGTTGAGGAATACACGAAGATGCAAAAGAGGTGCACTGCATGCTGAATGAGGGAGCCTCTTCTGCTTTTGCTACTTAACTTAATTCTTTGTATTTTCAGCTGTTCCTGGTAGAGCGTGCAGGGCGCAGGACCCTCCATTTAGTTGGATTGGGTGGCATGGCTGTGTGTGCTGCTGTTATGACTATTGCTTTGGCTCTGAAGGTGAGTAATTGATTGTTTTATCCAGACTGACCCTAGTAGGGGATGTGTAAGACTAGTTGTAGAGGGCTGAATTTCAGAGCAAGACATTTATAGCTGGGGCTAGAAGTGCAGCTTCCTTATGGCAGGAGCTGTGCTATAGCATTCACAGTACAACTAAGAGAATTGATGGTGGATGTTGTGCTGTGCCATATTTGCTTCTCAGATTGCAGTTAATAATATCCTATTTCTTTGCAGGATGCTGTGGATTGGATCAGATATATCAGCATTGTTGCCACTTTTGGCTTTGTGGCCCTTTTTGAGATTGGCCCTGGACCTATCCCTTGGTTCATTGTGGCAGAACTTTTCAGTCAAGGCCCACGGCCTGCAGCCATGGCAGTGGCTGGTTGTTCTAACTGGACCTCTAATTTCTTAGTGGGAATGCTATTCCCCTATGCTGAGGTAAGGACTCTGTTTGCAGAACGCTTCAAGAGAGCTGCAGCATTGTCATGGGTGTCCAGATTGGCTGTAGAAGTTTTGTTTTTAGCAGTCTGATCTCTTTGAATTTTGGCTCTACTTCTGGCAGATGGCTGAATCCCTCAAGGGGTCCCCAAGTCTGTATTCTGATTTCTATTGAAGGTTAGAGTGTTGTAGCCTAACATTCTGCTTTGTTACTTCCTCTAGTCTAGAGCCATTTTAATACATTTAAACTTTACCTTTAAAGGCCTCAGTTTTGGACAACCAGAACCAGTATTAAATCATTTCATAACTCCACAGAAATATGGTACTTTAAAAAAAAAAAAAATCTTTTATGTTGAGGACAAGTCAATGAGGCTATTGTTGGAGAAGGAAATGACTTCGCTATTAATTTTTTTCAAATTAAAATCACCTGTTTTTATTCTCACTGCAGAAATTATGTGGCCCCTATGTCTTCCTTATCTTCCTTGTTTTCCTGCTCATCTTCTTCATCTTCACATACTTCAAAGTGCCAGAGACCAAGGGCAGGACTTTTGAAGACATCTCCAGGGGTTTTGAAGGACAAGCAGAAACATGCTCTCCATCCTCGCCACCTATAGAGAAGAATCCCATGGTGGAGATGAACAGCATAGAACCTGACAAAGAAGATGCCTAAAATTCATGACACACCCTTTTTTTGACTCTTACATATTCATAGAGTCATTAAAGAAATAAGCAAAGAAATTATGAGAACTGGAACAATTTATTTCTCTAACTGCTGCTATTTTCTTCTCTGTACCTACATACTCCTCGTTCCCCCTATTCTGCTAGGCTTACCAGTGTTAAGCAAATCTGATATAGGTGATCTCTTTTTTTTTTTTTTTTAAATACTGGAAGGTACTTGGCACTCTAGCAAAAAATAATCTCATTCTTTGCCACAAACATCAGGTGAACACGTTGGTAATATTGTTACTTTTCTCATCTGTAATTGCTGTTTGGAATTAACATACTTATTTATGCAGTGACAGTAATATAATTTAAATACTATTTTTGTAGTGAGTTAAAGTTGCCCACTAAATTGAGTCCCCTGCCCTTCAAGTCTACTCTCTATGGGTGTATGTGTGCGCGTGTATGTGCAGTGTTACACTGGAATTTAACAAGCCTACTAAAAAGCCATCTTCTTGCTTTTTCCTTTCCAGTGTGCACTTTTTCAGCCTCAGGAAAAGGGGGACCAAGTTGCATGCCTATTTTTTTTCTTGCTTTTATTTTTTTGTATAGACAAACAGAACATACTTTTACTTAAGTTTATTTATTTGTATGTCACCTTGTAAATATTTATTTTTTTAATGGTGTACAAAAATGTACAGATAATGAAGTTGAAGATGTTTGACAAATAGTTATTCTAACAGAAGATGCTGTAGACTTGAGGTGCAATAAAACTGTAGAGAAGGAATACTGTACTGAACAGTCAGTTGGGTATTTTGGATGGTAGAACAGAGCCAATTGTGCGCATCACCTTTTACAGTTAATTCTGCCCATTGAAAAGTAATTCAAATAACTGAATGCTGATGAGAAGCAGTATATATGTCCACCAAAATTCATATGCAGTTTAGATATTTTGGGTGGTGACTTTAAATATTGCTCTAAAATATTACTTGGAAAGTGATATTGTAGCAAAGGGATGTTATTACTTTACGTTTTCAGTAACAGTTAAGCATTGTTCAAGATGATTGAGGGTATTGACTGCAAACCAGAAGGTGACTTTTTTTTGCCTTCTCTTGACTTTTTGGCCTCTCTGCTTTATTCTAGTAGGCCAGAAAGTTTGATGTTTGCAGATAGTTACTTAAAGTGCATGAGGCTAAAAGTTATTTTCCAAAGCTGTTAAACAATTACTTATAAATATTGGAGGCAAAATGGACCATTTGTCTAACAGGGTCATGCTATGGCATGTGTACATGCATAGAGATGCAGAATTAGGGACTAGAGCTAGTGGAATATGCTAGTTTAGCAGCTTGAAAAATTCAGTCTATAGTCGGTTGTAGGCCAAATGTTCTTGTTCTATGTCTCTGGAAGAGGCAGTGCCCAGCATTGTTCATTGTTCTGTGCAAATCTGTAGTATTACCTCTGTTAGACCTAACAAGGCAGACACAGGGAGCATTACATAGGTAATTCTCTCTCCTCTTTCTCATTGCTAGGTAATCAAAAGTATGTGTATATATACCCACAGTTATTGAGCCAAGTATAAGCAATCAGTTCAGTTTAGGAAGGGGAGAAAAAGTAATATATGTGGTATTTTGGGACTATTGCTTCCTCTGATTGTAGTGCTCTGAGTTTTGGCCTGTATAAGCTAAGAAAAGTGGTGGTGGTGGGGAGGGTGGACTCATTATCTCAGGCCTGCATGTTTTTTTGGTCTTAATCGAACTCAGGTCTACCTGTAGACTCTCACCAGAGTTCATTATTAGACATCTTATATAAGAAGCAGGTTTGCAGCAGGTTAGATGGGTAAAAGAAAGAAGAGCCCCAAATGAGAAACATGACAGCAAAATTGGTAATAGAATGCATAGCCCAATTTTTCTTCAACTTGCTATGAAACTATATTTTCAGGAATATCCCTTTAGTTCTGGAGTTGTCTGTGGCATTTTCTATAACTAGTGATGAGACCTTTTTTTCCAGCCTTTTCTAATGAGAAAGAGTTAGAGAGGTCAATAAGATTTGCCTTTGAAATACTTGCTGTGATGTTGTTTGGAGTACTTCCATCTTTGCATAGTATAGTCCTATTGCGTCCAAATTTCCCCTGCTTTCCATCAGGCTTCTCTAGGAGATATTTATTCTGAGAGGTATTTATAAGACTACTCTCACTCCTGACTTTTGTATTTTTGCCCAGTTATACGGTTTGTGCCCTTCCTTTGCAGGAAAATATCCTCTGTATGGACATCTGCTATCCTAGGAAATTTCTCCCACAGCTGTGTATTCTATACTTTGCTCTAAGAAGCATGTTGGCTTGGATCAAAATGTACAGGTCTTTCTCATATGGTATCTTTTGTTATTCTGTAATGGCATTGTGGATATTTTTGATGGGTTTTATAAGCTTATTGTGATTTGTTTCATGTTTTTAAAATAAAGATTACAGGTCTAATAACTGCTATGGGTTTTATCTTAACAATATAGTTGATAAGTGTCCAACTTCTTGGCTTGCCTGGGACCTACTGAATGAAGAATTGTCTTGGACTATATATAAAATACATAATATAGTTACTGCGTATGACTAATAACTTGTTTTTTTCAATAATTTTATTAAAACATAAAGAGCACAAAAACGTAAAACTATTGAAGTAGTTGACCTTGTTTTTTGGGAAACTAATGCATCCATCTGATTTGATGGCAGTGGTGGTGAACTTGTTGAGTTCTCAAGGTGATCATCAGAGATTTTTGGAATTTTACTTCACTCTTGAAAATAGTTGCTTACAAATGTGCATACTGCCCAAAAATTGAAGACATGAATAAGGAGTGACTGTGAATTGAAGGATATTTTTCTGTTAAGATAGGTCTTGAAATCTACTTAAAATAAAGGATCAGATTTTTCTCTGAGTTGAACATCTGATTGCAACATTACATTCCATTTGAAAGTTCACAGGTACTATATCTGTCAACTGAAAATGGAGTTGAAGATATACAAAAATGATTTTTTTTTTAGCAGTCTTGAAAACTTCAATTCCTTTATCAATAGAAAGGAGGGCTGCTTGCTTGTTGTTCAGAGTTTAGTCAATGTATCAACATGCATAAAATGACTTGCCATAATTTCAGTTTGCACTGGACTATCCCTGTGCACTTGTTTCAATCCGGATAGTGCTAATTGTACACTGATATTTGCTTGCTGCTGAGCAATAGGTGCATGCTCAGGGCTGGGCCTGGCTGGTTGGCAAGGAAGAACTGCTGCCATGATGGTGTGGGACAAAGTTTAGGCCATATGGGGGCCACAGGCTGTTAGCTGGACATACTTGCTGTAGTTGTTTTGTACTCCTAACAAATACAGGCTGGTATGTCACAAGCTCTTTCTCTGGCTAGCTCAGCAGCCTGGATTTGCTATTGTATTCCAGTGTGAAGGGCTATTTCCCTAAGCCTTCTATGCTTAATAGCTTAATGAATTCCTTTACTACTACTTTTCCTTAGTACAGACATGCTTCTTACCAGGATTTGGGGATCCTGATAGATGAGAAGCTGGACATGAGCCAGCAGTGTACACTTACAGGCTGGAAGACCAACCGTGTTCTGGGCTGCACTAAAAAGGTGGCCAGCAGGGAGAGGGGGGTGATTGTCCCCCTCTACTCAGCTCTTGTGAGGCCCCATCTGGTGTATTGTGTCAGGCCTGGGGTCCCCAGTACACAAAAGATGCAGAGCTCTTGGAATGGGTCTAGAGGAGGGCCACTAAGATGATCAGAGGGCTGGAGCACCTCTCCTATGAGGAAAGGTTGAGGGAACTGGGCTTGTTTAGCTTGGAGAAGAGAAGGCTCTGGGGAGACCTCATTGTGGTCTTTCAGTATTTGAAGGAGCATACAAACAGGAGGGTGAACAGGTATTTATAAGGGTGGATAGTGATATGACAAGGGGGAACGGTTTTAAACTGAGGCAGAAGAGGTTTGGGTTAGATATTAGGAGGAAGATTTTCACACACAGGGTGGTGATGTACTGGAACAGGTTGTGGATGCTCCATCCCTGGAGGCAATGTGCCAGGCTGGATGTGGCTCTGGGCAGCCTGGTCAAGTGGTTGGCGATCCTGCACATAGCATAGGGGTTGAAACTAGATGATCATTGTGGTCCTTTTCAACCAAGGCCATTCTATGATTTTTGTGATTGTTAGCCCAAATCCCCCAAGCATGGCCTTCAGTGGTACTTACCCAACATTTCTCAGTAAGGGGAGGGGGAGGGGTTGGGAAGTGGTTAGAGGAGCAGGATCTGGGTTAGAATGTGGTAAAGAAGAAACTTCACTGCCTTCACAGGCAGGAACTAAGAGCAATTCATCAAAAAGTATGAAAATATCCTTCATAGGAAGAGAGTGGAGGAAAGGGGGGGGGGGAAAAGCAAAAAGAATGAAGACAACGCAAACTATGCTAGAGGTAAGTCGGGATAGCTTCAGCATCAGCAGACACTGCACAAAGTGTGTGCGTCAGGTGGTTTGAATACTTAAACATTTCTTTCCAGTTGAGATGTTAATTATATCTAAGCCAAACAGTTCTCATGGCCACCACAACACCACTAAAGGTCATTTATTGCTGAGATAACATGTTATCATAACAACAAAACATCACAAAATGTCATTTATTGACACTTGTTTCTTTTTGCCTGTGTTATCTCCAATGAACTTAATTGTACACCAGACAAGAGAACAGTTTATGTGAAAAGAAATGTGAAAACATTTTATTGAAACAATTTTATAGATGTCTGCCTTGCACACAAATCTTTGCATTTGATTTTATGTTACAGATATCTCATTAGTGGGTGAGTCCATGGGCATGCTCTTTCTCCTCTGGAGGCTTGCCAACATGACTCCCATCTACAAGAAGGGTTGTAAAGAGGATCTGGGGAACTACAGGCCTAGCCAGCATGGGTTCACGAAAGGCAGGTCCTGCTTGACCAACCTGATCTCCTTCTATGATCCAGTGATCCATCTGGGAGACAAGGGAAAGGCTCTTGATGTGGCCTACCTCCTAGATTTCAGCAAGGCCTTTGACACTCGCTCCCAAGCAT